CTACAAGAAAGGTCGTATGCATTTTTCCCGTAATTTCAACGGTTTGGGAGTTATTGGCCAAAAACGAAAATTTGGAAGAATTTGAAGGGGTACCCCTTGGAAAAATCTCGGAAAAATCGAAAATTTTTTATTGTTGTTTATTATTAGCATTGTTCTTCCGATGTCTGATTTCTTTTTAAAAAATGCGTTTCTAAAGTGTATAAATTTTTGGGATTGACTGTATAGCCAATACATCCTTAAACGACGTTCAAGTGCACTTGAAATTTCGTAGAACGTTCCGACGTTCGACGATCAAATGATCGATCTGTCCGTTGATTTTGGCGGGCCAATGATTTACCAGGCTCTGTGTTTAAGTCACTGTATGCTTTCGTTTATTTCTCGATCGGCCAGCCTTGAAACGGAAAACGCATTACGGCACGATATTAGAGAAACCAGATTTCAAATTGGGGTTCCGCAGGATCACTCGCACGAGGTTCGCTATGGGTATTTTTGGAACATCGACTCACCGAGCAACCTAGTTTCAGGACGTTACGTTTTCCATAGCGTCGCGGAGAAAAGCGAAGTAAAATTACTTTACCTCAGAACATAAACTACACGGAGGAAGCATGCTTATGGCGACAGTGTAGACGACGCTAAGAGAAAGAGAAAGTAGTTTCGGTACTATCTTTCTCTCTCGCGCAAGCACGTGATTGTGTCTCTACTGTTAGAGAAAGAGAGAGAATATCAAAATTATTGCTCTCTCTCTCACCGTCGTCTACACTTTTTCACACAGCATGCTTCCTCCATGTAGTATATGTTCTAATAAGTACTTTACTGAATCGGTTTAGCGTTGCACTCGTAAGTTCGTTGCTTCGACGCACAGCGTAAATCGTGAGCAGAGAGTCAAACGTTTGTTTGACGAGCGAAGATTTTGCAACAAACCAGAGAAATGTTAGTCGGTCTGGCGGGCAGGTTTTCTATTAAAAGTGTATGACGCCTTGTCCTTCTCGCGTCCACCTAATTGATAATGTATTTACAAATACCTGCGCGACGTTTAATGACATCATGTTTTGAAATAATATGCTCTTTGGGGGAACTTGGCACCCGGTCCGAGCGACACTTTTCCTTTCTCCCGTCGTTGTCTTCTTTCCTCGATTAGATCGTTAAAACGGTTCGAGCATCCGCAAATAGCAACGGGGAAACTGATCGTGGTCAAAAGGGATTCACGAGGTCGTCGGTAATTGTTGCAGCCGACTTATCAAAATCGCGAGGCCATCGAAGAGAGCATTGGAAAAACGAGCGTCGGAGGGAAGATGCCGTCTTTGAACAACAATCTGTCGGAGTTAGACACGTTGCTCGAGGATCTGAGCAACGCTCATTACAATACGCATTTCCAGGAAAGAGGTCAGGGTCTTAGCGTCGAATCGCACGATAGATTTAATGACGAGTTTCCGGATCTGATTCATGAATTTCCCGTCGTAGAGAATCGCATTTCCTCGGGCGGGTTGAACGGAGACTCCAGTCCCATGCTTCGTTCGCCGAGTAGCATGTCAGCCTCAAGGCCCACCGTAGACTCGTTGCTCGAGGAGTTGAATACCGCGGTACCGAACGGGTAAGCTCTCCTGAGAAAAATGAAAAAAAACTCGGCTCGCGGTAATCCGAGTACCGATGTTCGACGTCGTAAACCGAGTCTAACGCGATTTCCTTGATCAGGGATTATCCTCCCGACGGCAGAGTGAAAGTTACCATTCAGGAAACGTCCACGGAGATCCAGCCCGTGTACGAGGGTTACCCTTCTAGGCACGGGTCCTTGAATCGGAGCGAGGTCCAGAGGAGCTACACCAACGGGCACACCGCGAGCAACGCTACCAAGGAGCTCGACGATTTAATGGCGTCCCTATCAGAATTCAAGGTACTCATCAACGTAATGAAATCGATCGATCCTCGACCTATCCGTCCTGATTACATAACTGAATTTTTTCCTAGCGGGTGCAACGAGCGTTTGTGATGTTTGCTCACTATTAAAATCACTACAGAACGAGAAAACAGTAGCGTTAAAACTATTCCTGCCCATTCTTGGCTCCCTAGGTTACTAAAATAACTTCCATTCCACCAGTCGACCATCCTACGCCTCCTCTCTTCTTCGACCGTCTCCTTTACTTCGCCTCTGCCGATTTTCCGTCAGCAGGGGAGGGAAAATATAGAAGGTGGGGATCATAGTGATCCACGAAATCTCTGAAAGCTTTCAGCCAGTCTGCAAGCTCGCTACTACCAATCAACATCTCTCGCGGGTCCTTAAAATTGATTCAAGCTCTTCATCGCTGCATTGACATTTCGAATTAACTCGTCCCTCGTCGTCGCTAACGATCCGTTCTCCTTCCGATCAGAGATCTTTCGCACGCTTCCCTGCTTTCGCTCTATTCGTTAATGTCGATGGATATTCTTATCACGGATCGTACGTTCACAGATTAACAGCAGCTCTCATCAACATCAAACGGTGACCGATTCCCCGTACGCGAAGCCGAACAAAGCGACCAAGAGTTCTCAGAGCCCGCTGCCACCCGAGAGCCCCCAGACTCGAATTCACATCACCGAGACGCACACCACTCACCACTATCAGCAGCAACACGGAGAGCCTTACCCGCCGCAGCCAGCAGCGACCAAACAGAATCAGTTGGATTCTATGCTAGGAAATCTACAAGCGGACATGAGTCGCCAAGGAGTGAACACTACTCAGAAGGGGTGCTGCAGCGCTTGCGAGAAGCCCATCGTCGGACAAGTAAACCCGAGTCTCCTGGCTATCGTGGAACGATCCCGGGAACTCTATCTCTAAACGCGAGTCGCGGTTTCAGGTGATCACCGCTCTAGGAAAGACGTGGCATCCGGAACACTTCACATGCACCCATTGCAACCAGGAGCTGGGTACTCGGAATTTCTTCGAGAGGGAGGGACACCCTTACTGCGAGCCGGATTACCACAATCTTTTCTCGCCGCGTTGCGCCTACTGCAACGGCCCGATTCTAGACGTAAGGCTGGGAGGCACACAAGCGCGGCAGGCGTGCTTTCGGTTAACGTGGCTATACGGTCACACACGGCTCTTCTGGTTATTTTCAGAAATGCGTAACCGCCCTGGAAAAAACTTGGCACACGGAGCACTTCTTTTGCGCCCAGTGTGGCAAACAGTTCGGCGAGGAGGGGTTCCACGAACGGGACGGGAAGCCGTACTGTCGGGAGGACTACTTCGACATGTTCGCGCCTAAATGTGGCGGATGCAATCGCGCCATCATGGAGAATTACATATCCGCCCTGAACAGTCAATGGCATCCGGATTGTTTCGTCTGCAGGGTAGGTTCCGCGCCGCGTGAACACGCATAATCGTCCGTTTCCGTCCTTCTTTTTTTACAGCGACGCTTTCAGGATTATACGAGTCCCTGTCGACTTCGATCGCATTAAAATGGTAAAACTTGCAGGATTGCAAGAAGCCGGTTTCCGGGAAATCGTTTTACGCGATGGAGGGCAAACCCGTTTGCCCGAAGTGCGTCGGCGTCGACGACGAAGAGGAGGAAGAGGAGGAAGCATAAGCGATGCGAGCATCGTACATCGGGTTGCTTCAATTACTTATGTTAAAAAGCCCTATTGTTTCCCATTTTATGCAGTCGGCTGCGCAGAAATGCGCGCAAACGCCCGACTCATCCCCCTACCCCTACTTTTTCCAAAACAGGTGATTTAGGCAGACCAGGAAGGAAGAACCCGTTTCAGCGATGTCGCCGTTGTTCGCGTCCTTCTCGAAACTTTCCATTCACACTCGCAAACACACATACCTACACACACACACACAGGATTAGATGTACGATACACGGTATAAACAGCTAGGGCGTTGTTAAAGTTTTACGATAGTATTCTATGCGAAACTGTCCGACGCAACCGGAATTAATTTTCTTTTTCTAGTTAGATAGGTATTGTTAACAGAAACGTTCGTTGCGCTAAATCGCTAGTATTGTAAAAATGAGAAATAAAAATAAATTAGGAAAAAAGAAAACAAAAAACACACACGACACAACAGAGTCAGCGTTCGACTCTGACACGGCCGTTGCTCGCCACGTGTCTTTGTCGAAGGCAGGTGTGTGCTCGGACACCGGCGTCTATACCGTTCTAATGACAGTCAACGTGCATAGATCTATCCGTTTCCACGAGTATCGGTCATATGTTCACGTCGTACACACTCCCATGCAACACGCAACTCGTATATTCGTCTACCTGGCACATCATAGTCGTTTCGCTATACGGTCATTCATAAATGAGTAGAAATTGAGGTAGTACTCTTTTTTACGTTCACAGGATTGTAGACAAAAGTTCCAAGGCGGCTCGTTCTTCGATCACGAAGGTCTACCGTACTGCGAAACCCATTATCACGCGAAGAGGGGATCCCTGTGTGCGGGCTGTCATAAACCAATTACAGGTCTCAGATTTCGATTCAACTTTTTTAACGTCCGTCCGTATAATAATCGTTGAACGAGTAATTCTTGTTTCAGGTCGTTGTATAACAGCCATGTTCCGGAAGTTCCATCCGGAACATTTCGTATGCGCGTTCTGCTTGAAGCAGCTGAACAAAGGCACTTTCAAGGAACAGAACGACAAACCGTATTGCCACGGCTGTTTCGATAAGTTGTTCGGTTAAATCCGTTCTCGTTTCTACCATGAAAGTATTTGTAACATAAAGACGAAACAGGCTGTTTCGCATGGTACTACTTACAGTTTTATAGGCCGCTCACATACATACATTTGTACCGCATAGAGAATACGTAATCGCTTTAATCGTTACACCACACGAGTTTCACGATTCAAGCTTTTATATCGTGGTTCGAAACAGCCTCGGTTTTTTTATGGACCTCGACGTAGGTATGGTGCGACAACCGAAATTACAATGTCACGTATCGTTTATCTCCGCTCTTATCGTAAGGATAAGGTATTAGGGTAATCATAGTTGTTACTGTTCTTCCATTGTCCTTAATAAGGGCCCGTTGCTAATATTCTCATGGATATTTTATATTCACGTACTTCACATTGATCGTACGACTTAAGGATTAATAAAGGGTGCTAATTAGTAGCTTATTTTTTACTAATAACGTATTCGAGCAAACAAGCTGCCAATCGAAACATATTTATACGAAATCAGGACGTAATTACCAAATATCCACGGTCCTTTCTGTTAGATTTGATACATGTTTATGGAATATTTATATCCGCGAAATACACGGTGAAAGTCGGTCTGTTTATTCTCTACGTTTTTACGCGACTGAGATCAGTGAAGTCTCTGTTATATATGTCCTTAAGAAACATATTAATCAAAAATAAAATACTTAATAGATGCATAACGTATAGGAACTGTGAAAAATTTGTTCATAAAGTTATTTTTCAGGCAGGGATAGAATAAAGAAACAGCATACCACTTTTTTAGATTTATTTGGCATACTGTTGCACACCAGTGTTCTATTTGTCATTTTACCAATAAACATTTAATAAATATTATATACAGTAACACCTAATTGTTGTGTCGACGAAGTATAAATAAGAAATGACGAGTGTCTATCTGAAAGCAAACTTAATATTACGGACAGGTATAAAAAACTACGTACGAAATTGTACGTACGACATAGTACGTACAAAATTAATACACGTTCTACCAATTTTATAAAGTGATTCTTATCGTGTCTCGGTTTGTATTGAGATATTAAAAAAAAAAACGAACGAGTCTTTAATCGTACGGCGAGCACGGTATATCGCGTATCACAGACAATTTATCTCTCGCAATTTCCTGTTTCGAGGAAACCCTTACTTCCTCATGCTAACGTTGGAAATAATTCGGAGAAGCTTTCGTGCCAAAGGTCCGTCAGACCGATGTTGTCCTTGTCGATTCGTACATCGGTATTTGGCGAACCATGCGACTCGTACCCGCAGTCGGACGCGTTCGAATCCAATTTCGTTTGGGTAAAATTGTTATCGGTGTCCTCGGAATGTATGCTACTCGACGGTGACAAAGAGTCCGTGCTCGCGTAAGGCGACAAATGATTGCTATAGTAATTCGGTGTTAAATACGATGAATCCTCGTTCGAGCAGATACCGTCGGCGACTATTTCCTGTACGCATTCTTGTATGCCTACGTCGTTTTCGTCTCCGGGATAAATGATCGTCACGGAATTCGTCGCCTCGTCGTAAGTACCGTAAATGGTCTCCAAATCGTGCGTGTCCACTTCTTGTTTCACTTCGATTTCGGGCTTTATTGACACAGGTGCGCTCGTGTTCGCGGTGTGAGACGTAGTAGTACTGGTAATGCTAGAAACAGGATGCCAAGATCGGTGCGTGCTCACGCCTCCACAGGTTCCATCGGCTTCCACATCTTCTGGTGCCTGCCCCACCACTCCTTTTGAATGGTCACGTTCCTCAGCGGTATCTTCCGTGCCTGATACCTACGCAGGGCGCGATCATTATGTCATTAACGAAAGGAAGACTGAGTTGCAAATGTAAACCAGAAATTAAGAAACGAATGAAATGTTTAGTATAATCTATTTTAATACGAAGGATCGCGATATATGTACGACAGAAAGGAGAGATCAATTCGAGAAGAGTTCAAACAATTCATTCATTCCTGTTTTATGAACTAAACTAATCGCATTGTAAAATCGCCGATCGTCCGATTATTCGAGATGCTCACTTGTTCAGTTGTTCTATGAGGATTTGCTTCCACTTCTGCGGTAACCTCTCGCAGAAGGCTCTCTGCAAGCTCTTCGAGTCGCTCGATGTAATCGTCCCCTTGGAGGTCGGTAAACAGTTCTTCAAGAGGAGGTAAATGGTCAGTATCTTCAGGAGAACCGTTGCTCCTGGCGTTAGCGTCAGAGACGGTGCCAGCTGCGCTGCTCCACCCTGCTGCAGAGGGTGAGTGGGGGACACTGTAGATCCCAGCGAGGATACAGCACAGCTGACACGACTCTGGCACATCGAGCAAACGAATTCTCCCGTGTTCTTCGCTTCTCTCTCCTTCCTCAATCGTTTCGCCTCGGTGACCAGTACATCGTTCTGTGACCTCAACATCGTGCACTCTTGTACCAATAAATCATTCTGTTCCCTCAATGCCCGAACAGTTTCCTCCAATTCATCGAGTTTCGCCTTCTTCCGATCCCGCGAGGTTTGAGCCGCCACCCTGTTCTTCAGCTTCCTGGAAATGATCATTTCTCGTTATTCACTCCTTGAACACCTTGCGTCATCCTAGGCGCGTGGGGTCATTGATAAACGTACTTCCTCTGTAGCTTCTCTTCCCACGTCAAGTGATCCAGCCGTCGCTTCTTACCGCGAACGCAGACGTCCGTTTTGAACAAAGCGCCGTCGTCCGCGATCCCTTCCTGTTTAGCGATCTTCTTCGAATCCATTCTAGACTTGTCGGTCAGTATCGTAGTGAAATTGAATTTCGACGCGGATTTCGACAATTCGTTGGCTGATATTACGCCGGGAGCCTTCGGAAAGCCCTTAGGCAGCGTGATAATAACACTTTTCACTACGCTCATAATAATCAGCCATAAAAAGAACTCGAACGCTGGACTATGGTCACTCGTTTTACTCAAAAATTCACCGTCTTATCTCTCCATAAACTTCTCGATCCTTCGACCGTTCGTAAACGACTGAGACGATGCAGTCGATGCATATACATAACACCGGAACTCCGTGTCGTATGTATGGGTTTTTCAGCTGATGTAATCCTACTGAGGACCTGCAGCATTTCGCTGCGCGGAGAACATCGTAGAAACTTGACCCGTGCCACTCGTCGACGCGACTGGTCGAAACCAGGAACGTTCCATGTGGTGTACCGTTATTGGTCGCCACGTAGCAGCTTCTGCGGGTATATATCCCGCTTCCTACCACTCGCCGCGATCGAGCAATTGTACACCGGGTGACGTCAAACTCGCATACGGTGCAATCGCATCAGTTTTTTTCCTCGGTTCCGCCTACCGTAGATAATTCGCTTGTCCGTCGTTTCACCTAATCGTTTTTAAGAATATTCTGGCTAGAAAGTTGCGATGCGTCATTCTCGACGCTGCGTCTTTCGTTTAAACAGTTGCATCATCCGAATGAAAACTTATAAATTATGATCGACAGAAAATATTGTCACGTAAATTTACATCAATGATTCAGGAGTTTCGCAAATCAAACAAATGTAAATGACATCAATTAAACATGGAACGCTCGTTTATAAAAGAATTATGTTGCTATATCGACACGCGTAGAATTTTGATTGTATAATAAAATTTGATTCATTGTAGAAAGCGTGATTTGAGAAATCACTCTTCTATAAAGTGGCGACGCCTGCTTCTGCATTATCGTAGATAAAATACAAAGCAAAACACTCGTCGATGCTGAACCGACCGTATAATCTCGTATGTTACCGACGAGTCATTGTTACATTGCCGATGATACGTTATCCTAGACGAAGTATACATTTCTCCGTCGTGTTCAGAGCGGGTTATTTAAATGTCTCTTAAGCCCCTACCGTTCGGAACTGTACGCAACTTGAGAGCAGGGATGGGATAACTTTTCCCGCACGGCTCGATTCCCCTCTTTTTCGCCCGTATTTCGATCCCCACTACTATTCTCTTCATGCGTCTTCGCTGACTATGCCTAGCATACCCCCGTCAAGTACAAGTCCCCACCATGGTCGCGTCGTCACCACTTTCCGGCCGAGGGAAAAATTATCCCATCCCTGCTTGAGAGACATTCAAGAAGGCTCCATTTAAGAGTCTTTCGATCTTCACAACGATATCTATTCCATTTTTACAGTTGTAAGAATAATTTCCCTTCCCTCATTATTGTCTTACATGATTAAAACATTCTTTTTCTTTTAACATTTTTACGATGTTAGTGTCAGTGATAAAATTAACAGTGATCAATTTATAAATAGTAGTCAAGCAATCTTCTTTGTAAACTATTGTATCTCTCCGTATATATCTCCGTGATGAATAAAGTTCGGAGAACCGGCGAAAAAAGAACCTAGATCTCTAGGTGAAACGTGATGTCGTTTCATGGATACCGGGCATTAGTCGACGAAATCGACCACGAGGAGAACGTGGTGGAGGAAGCGTGTACAGACGGAGAGGGCGTTGGAAAATGTCGTGAGCAGACTCAGCAGACACGAGGGTTCGACAGGAATACGGCTTTCAGTTGCAGCTCGACAGTCTGCACGGGACGATCGAGTTACGTACTGGTAAACGGTGTGCAGTTTGCGTATACGTATACGCGTATGGCATATGTATTAGTGGTCATAGGCGCAGTCTCGTGTGTGCACGGGTAACCGATACGCCGGACGGAGTTGACACACGCGCAGCAATGGCGTATACCCCTGAAGAGGCTTGAACGTGTTCTTCCCGTCTCTCGTCAAATATTCCCTTCGTGTCGCGGTGTGTAGTGTGTGTAAAAAGGACGATCGAGTCGAGTAAAAGATCGTGCACGTACGCAGACAACGGAATCGCGATTCGACGTCCTGTTTCTAAAGGGTGTTTCGGGCGGTGAGCGAACGACGACACATTAACGCCCAACATCCGTGCCCCGTTCTGTCGTTCCGACACGCGAGTCCGTGCCTCGCGTTCTCACGGACGTCGTTGTAAAGCTTCGGTCGAACAAAAAGCCTGGCCCAAACGGAAATTCAGCGGAGCAGAAAAGTGCAGCGGGCCGGCGTTAAAAGCGATGCTCGGACGCCGGACGTACAAGGGGTTCGCGACGGTGTGAAGCGGATTTCACTGAAGAAAGTTGGATAAAATAGCACGCGAAGATACACAGGGAAGAGAGAAGTTCTATTGAGGTAGGAACGAATGATACGGTGAAGAAGGCGTAGAGATACAGCAAGATCGCAAAAGGGAAAGATCGATGTTGCAAGGAAGCCGGTGTCGAGCGAGTCACGGCCGGCGGCGTTCGAATTCGTAGTCGCTTGTATATAAGCTCTTTACCCACGACTTATTTTTCCCTTTCCTCTCGCGAAATATGCGATAACGCTGTTTTACTCGTGTACATTGGGGGCTTCCGCCTCGAGGGTTTTCCTCGGTGTTGGATATAATAGCTGACTGGTCCAACCCTTGGATAAGGCGACCCTCTCGCTCTCTTTCTCTCGCAAACACCATGAATCGCATCGTTCCACCTCGACTCGTACCCAAGGTGTGCCCGTGACAGCTAGAACTGCTGTGATCATTGATACACGGCCCCGTCGTAAATACGATTGAACGGACGAAGACGAAAGGCCGAGGAGCGAGGAAGAGGGACAGACAAGGAGGAGAGTACGAGCACAGAGGGTCAAAGTCGAGGAGGGGAATAAAGGAAAAGGAAATTGCCGGAGGATCGCGAAGTTCGCGTCTCCGGTGGTTGCGGCCAGAGATCGGTAATCTCAACGCTGGGCGAGACGGAGAGCAACGGATCGTGGTCGTCATCGGGGAGAATAATTACGAGGATCCCACGAAATGAGAGCCTAGCGTTCGAGGTGGGTCGTTGGTCAGCGGGCGCGCAAGAAGGGACGGTTCGCCGGCGGAAGCCTGGATAGTAGGAGGTTTCCAACATGGCCGCTGCCTGCTACGAGAAGGAAGTGGTGGTAGGTGCCGCTATGCACGGACACGGTCATCACCATCACCACCACCACCATCATCATCACCATCACCATCACGGGATCGCCGGTGGGTCTGCCGGTTGCGCCGGTGGAGGCGGCGGCGGCGGCGGTACGGCCGCTGCGACGGGCCCGACCATACAGCAGACCGTCCTGCCGGCCGCATCGACCGGTATCCTCGACACCGCCACCGGTGCTGCTGTTGCCGTCGCCGCCGTCGGATCCGGCTCGAACAACGCGAACGCGAACACGTCGGCCACGGCGACCGCGGCGGCGGTTGCGGCCGCGGCAGCAGCCGCCGCGGTCGCAGTCACCACCTACAAGGACTACTCGCAGCCGCTGCACGTCGACTGCAGCGTCGAGTACGAACTGCCTAGCCAAGCGAAACCGCCGCCCGGCGGAGGCGAGCCGCTCCTGATGATACACCCGTGTTACTATCGACGTGCCGAACGCGAAAGGAGAAGTCCGTTCGTCAACAATCTGCCGCCGCCGGCAAACGCACCGATTTCGTCCTCGAGGCGGAGTAGCAGAAGAAGCACCTCAGCCGCCGTCGTCGTCACCGCGGCAGCTGTTTCCTCCGCCGCGTCGTCTATAGTCGCGGCACCATCCTCTACTGTCGCCGCCGTTTCTACCTCGAGTTCCGCGTCGTCTTCGAGTTCCGCTGCCGCGGCTGCAGCTGCTGTCCTCTCGGCGACCGCGGCCGCCGCTGTCTCGACCGAGTCCGCCTCGAATCTCGTGTCGACCACCGGTCAAATGTCCGCTGCGGCGATGGCGGCTTCTTATCGCGCTGCTCTGAACGCTGCCGCGACTCTGTCTCAGCAACAGAGACGTCAACATCATCCGCAGCAGCAGCAACAGCAGCAACCGACGCCAGCACCTCCGCCGCCGCCGCCACCGCCGCCGCAACAACAGCAGCAGACGCATCATCTTCATCACCGGTCTCACGCTCATCCCCTTCACGGTCAACAACAACCGCAACAACAGCAGAGCTCGGTAACGTCGACCACCGCCGGCAACGAGCTGATCTCTGCCGACGAGAAAGCAGTCATATCAGGTATTTATCAACACTACTTCCGCGCGATGCGCGCTCACAATCATCAGCACCGACAACAGCAACACCAGCCGCCGTCGCAACAGCAGCAACAGCAGCATCGGACGGCGCATCAGCAGCTTCATCATCAACCTCACCAAAGCGACCGAAGTTCCTCCGCGTCCGTGACGCCGACCGCGGCCACGTCGATCTCCGGCATCCTGCGTCAAACGTATCAGCAAACGTATAACGCGAGCAGCACGTCGAGCCACCTCCGGTCCGCCTCGGCGGTCGGTCATCACCCGTATAGGCGACCGTCGGCGACGCTGTTGTCGCGAGCGGCCTCGCACATAGGCCATCAGGCGTCCTCATCTTCCTCGTCCTCTTCTTCCTCCTCGACGTCGATCGGTGCTTCCACTGGCGTTTCCAGCGTGTACGCGAGCACGATACACAGGCATCACGCGACTTCGTTGCACGCCCTTCAGGCGGCAGGCTTTTACGAGACGCCCGGTTATCATGCGCTTCTGCCGCAGAGTTAGGTGTCCAACGTCATCAGCCACCGCGAGACCGACCCCGTTCATGCCGGCGTTCATTTGTTCACCTGATCCGGGCTGTAAACCCGGTCCTCTCTCTCTTCTTCCCTGTACGATCAACTTATCGTCCACGCACTCGTTAAACAGCATACGGGTTGGTCGAAAATTCCGCCTGGTACACACGGGATACATCTATCTCTGCGACCGTACACGCCGACTTCCGCCTATGTATATTCGCCATAGAACGCGAATGTATGTACGTAGACGTATGTACGCGAACGTACGTACGTGTACGTATGTACAATCGTTGACGCAAACGATCGTACGTGCCGTATGCTCTCCGTCGTTGGCAGTGGTGTGCGGGTGGCCGGGCGGACGGGCAGAAAGCCACAGAATAAACACATGAACGCGCGGGTACACACCACCGTCGTCGCTGTGCCACGCACACAGACGTATGTTCAAGCCCGGGGACAGATGGAGGGAACAACGAGACGACTGAAATGGTCGTCCGAATGTACGCATCGACCGATTCCATCCACCTGCGATACGTGCGGTCAGGTATAGAAATCCATTTGCTTAGGCCCCGTATTAACGACTACCCGGTGCCCGTCTCTGTACGCTTTCTCAGAGCCGGGAGAGAGATCATTTGGAATTCCTGAAACCACTCATAGCCGGGCAAACACGTCGCGTTTCACCGACGGCCGAACGTCGTACCGTTGAATCCGCGAGAGCACGTCGCCCGACTACAATACCGTTCTTAGGGCCTACGATCGATACACTCCTCCAATATCCTGCCGATAATACCCACCCATAGCATTAGACGCGTTTTTTAACGACTCCGGCGATTAGTTCGCTAGAATCCCATTAGCCGACGTTAACGTCATTCCTTAACGATGCGAGTAAATTACACGGTGAGCCTCGTTCCAGGTAGAGATGTGCACGTGCGGGAACGATCTTTGTCGAAAACCGAGTTCCACGATTCTATCCGCATGGCAGACGATAGAAATGCTCCGCGGATAATCTCACGACAATTGCACAAGCGCTTGATTCGTGTTTGTTTCGTACGCCGGGGTTGACGAGGGTCGTTTCTTCTGTTAATTCCTCGACCGACAATCATCAGAATCGCAAGTGCCAAACTGCAACGGACGGAACCGCGTTTTAACGGGGTGCGACCGACGGGGACTTTGCCAAACAAAGAGCGCGTGTGTGCGCTTCTTTTTCTTTCTACTTTTCGTTTCGCGGAGCACATACAGGAAATGACAGACAGTGTGCTGCGTCGCAAGGGATCGCGTTCGTCCTTCTCCAACGTGCCTCTCGCTCGCGGCTCGAGACGGGTCGGGAGAGAAAGAGAAGCGTCTCTAGAAAGCCGTGGTCCGAGAGCCCGAGCCAGGGCAGCGGCAGGATTTCTTCTTTTTTGTCCTGCGCCCTTTTCAAAGAGCGCGCTCAAGGAGAAACGGACGGGGACCGTATTTCGTTACACGGTAACGATCGATCAACGTGACCGCACGACCGCACCGGCGGTACGGGCGAGCCGTGGCGAAGCGAGACGAAGCGAGGCGAGGCGAAACGAGACGACGGGCTCGGTTCCGAGGGACGACGACGACGACGACGACCAGAACCAGACGCGAAGGGGGCGCGGTCAAGATGGGGAGATCGCCTGCTGGAGAGACGAAACCGAGGCTCTCCGGCTGCACACGCACCAGGATACGTCTAGAACGATCGGCGACTCAGCTGCTCCGGAGCACGCGATCCCGAGAGTTCGAGAACAGGGGGTATATCACAATGGGAGCGAGATTCTCTTCGGGGAAAAGAAATTCATCTGTTATCAATCTACGGCTCGGGACGACGATTTTCGACCTGTTTCCCTTGTGAGAGGGCAAGACTCGAAAACGATCGAGCATTAAGAAAATCAGCCATAGGGAAAACGTAACACGATGAAAAACGGATGGAGAATCCTTGTCCCGAGCTGTATGCTCTTCGTTTCGTTTGAACTTCTACGGAACGAGTTCCCAACGAACTTGAGAAAACCCACTTGGCAAATGTTCGGTTCATCTGTTTGATCTATGAGGGATCGTAGCAATCAACGGTTCTTGAATATTTCAAGTGGCCGAATTAAGCATTCGCCGAGGGGCCTCAGATTTGTATGGATACGTAGACGACGTAAAACGTAGACGCTTCGGTCGTTATCGCGCTCGCGTTCACTTAAAAAATTGCCAGGTTCCTCGAAACGACGAACTCGAAAAGTACGAGTCGACCATCGTCCGTAGTCAGAGTAATGACTAGTTTCTAGACGGCGCGGTGAAACCGCTGTTTGTCAGTGATGCGATCGGGGAGGGACGTTCCCGGGAAACTTAGATACCACGTTACGTGGGATGGCAAAAGTAAAAAGTCACGGGAGGCACTTTGGCGCGTTCGATAAGAGGATAGGGTATCGATCCCAATAAATTTCGTTCCGTGAACTCGTGTCAAACCCCACCTACCACACGGCTGACTTTTAACAACCTGTTCCCCTTGCTCTTTTCCGTTTCTCGCTCGAACCCCGAAGGGCGCGACGGCGGCCGACGCGACGCTGCGAAAGGACGTTTATTTTTGTAGGAAAAACTCGCGTATTTTTGAGATTCCTGGAAGTGGACCGGGAGAGGAGGAAAAAAATGCAAGGCTCCGCGACGTCGGGAGAGATGAAACGAGAAAAGTTTCTGACTCGCGCGAGCACGTCGTTTGGTTGCTCGGTAGAATCACGGACGCCTCTATTGACAGCGAAATACGATGGTATCGTAGACGTAGATCGGCCGGCAGAGGGTTAAACTTCGTCCACTGATAGATATTTATACGACGTGGAAGGAAGGAGGGCATTATTGTGCCTCGTTGAAACCCCCGTCGAACTCGTTATATAATGTGACGTCGACATTAGGTAATTAGGAAGCGTCGCAAGCAGAAACGTTGGCCAGTCTCTGTCTTTGAAAAGGTTTCACCGGTTAGTTTGTTCGGTTTCCTACGTTCGTTTTCGCCGTTCGACTCGGCGGACAGTGAGAAATCCGTCGGGACGTTATTTTTACGATTTTCCCGGTCCCAACTGTTGGTCGTACACGCAGGGTGTCCCGCCTAATCGTCTGTCTCGTGACGTGACGCAAACGACTAAGTACGTGCCGTTAATGCTTTCCCACGAACTCGGCTGACGAACTGAAATTTTCACAACGCTCGCTCTCGAAATCGTGCGTTCACACGCCGAATTCTAATTCGTGAAGGCTGCCGCGTATCACGGAAATTTCCCAGTTTCGCGGTTGTTTTCGGTAAATTCGTCGTTGAGAGTTCGCCGAGCCGACGATCTCGCTCACCCTTCGCCGTCCATCTCGACCGAGCGTTTCCGCCCCGGTGTTTTTGCTCGTTCAAAGGGAACGAACCTCTTAGCGGCGAAGTAGAGGGAAGCTAAACGGATACGGGGGCCTAAATACAGTTACTCTCTTTTGGAACCGACGTATCATCGACGGAACGAGCTTTCCCCTTTTCCCGTCTCTCCTCGTTCGCGAGCAATTCGATAGACCGCGGGATTAATTTCTTTGTCGTTTAAAATCAATTCCGACGGATCGCACGACACTTTTAACAGCAATAACATCTTCGAGGAAACGAGAATTGAAAATTAAAGAGAAACGACAGTGGGGGGAGAACATCGACGCAACGTTTCATGCCCCTTCCGTTCTGTCGGCATTTTTCTTGAGCTTCCTCGTAATCGGCCATCAGCTCACATACTTCCATACGTAACGCGTTTCATACTCCTCTCGTATAATTCCGTCTCGTAGATCTGTGAACCCGCTTGCCATGCAAAGGGTACGCTCGTAGAATTCGATTGTCGTCGTCGGTGTGTCGAAGGAGAGAAAAAGGAAGGACGAACGAAACTCTCTTTCGCTTGGGCATTGTAAACGATGAGACGCATATACGCACGGTCGAACGTCAACCAGAATCGATACCATCGGTAGTCTCGCGCCTTTCAAATTTTTCCTCTCGCGTATATCGCGAAGATCGACGAACGTGCCTCTCCGCCGTATCCACTGACCGATTCCCGTGACGAAGTTCGAAGCCGAATTTATTCCGTGTGCCAAAAAGCACTTTCTGCGTCTTCGACGACGAGCTCTGCTCGAGAAATCTGTGCCACCTCGGCTGCGACTTTTTGCCTCTACTAAATGATAAGATACAGGACCACCCCAGTCACAGGGCTAAATGGGCAGGGCGCAAGCCTTTTACGGGCGACTATTTTTATTGTTGTTATATTTTTTTGTTATTATTTGTTATTTTTATCAAAAATCATGACGACAATAACCAAATAACCTATTCTAAAGGAAATATAAAATGTTATATGTATGCGTATCTTTGTTTTTGAGTTTGCTAATAAATGTATGTGTTCTTAGAATTTCCCCGGTGATTTATATTAGTCTATTGTATCAATGAAATACGTTCGATTTTGATTCGGTTCGCGCCAGTTTTCCATACTTTCGTATAACTTTCCCGATCACCCAGCTCGGGTTAGCCATCCCGTGTATTTTCTTACGAAGAGTGGCGAATCGTTTTTAGTAGCCCACGGGTGACGAATATCTTAGGACGGCCCTGATAAGATAAAGACAATTGTAGCGACGGTAGCTGACAGAAAAAGACGAGCGCCGTTGTCAAACGTTTTTCAATATACTTTCCTTTCCGTGTACTATTAGCTATCGCATTTAGACCGCGTGTATCCCAGGTGAAACCGGCGTGTTCTGCCCGTTTATCGTTGTTACTATCTCTGAGGAGAAAAAAGCTACGAGGGCATTACGTAAAGGGAATATTGAACGACTTTCCGTGCATCTTCTCTATATAGGGGAGATAACGCGATAGAGGCGATACTCTTCACGTTGCTTACGGTCACAGTCCTCTCTCTGAAAACACACGTGCTCCGAACCCAGTTCTTTCCTCGCGTCCGATTCCTCCGCTGCTCTCCTCACGAATCCGGTCGGTGCGTACAAGGTTTTAAGAAAAAAAATAAAGAACTCTTTTACAACGTCGATTCGACGAACTGATCGACGTAAAAATGGGCAACACAGGAATTTAGCGATCGGTTTCTTTCCGATCGTACACACGATATCGTATGCTCGATTTTCACATGGTTCCGATCAGTAGAACGTTCCGTTGCACGTATACAGGGTGTCCCAGAAAAAGTTTCAGAGTCGAGGAGAGGCGATTCTGTAAGTATTTCTGAACAACAATTTCCTTTGCCGAAATGCAAAGTGAGGCATGGTTTTTAAATTATTAACGAAATCGCGCTCAGCCACGGCAGTAGTGGCTCGAATCGTGGCGCTCGGCAGTTGGTCAGCGCAGGCCTTACGCGCGCTCTCATTGGTCAGTGTTTTTCATCAGTAATTCAAAAACCATGCCTCATTTTGCATTTTACCAAAGGAAAGTATTGTTCAGAAATCATTCGTTTTCGACTGTAACACTTTTTCTGAGACACCCTGTATACCTCCGCGATTCCAACCGTAGGACACGCTGGATCTAACGTTGAACGCAGTGGGCACAGCGCACACACGACGCGAACACGTGCGTAACCTATCACGAAGAAAAGGAAATAATACACGGCATGTGCGGTCTTTCCGGTCATCTCTTTTTATTTAACGTTGCATTCAGCGAACGCATTTGTACCACCGCCGAGGCGATTATTTTTTCCCCTTCGATTCACCTTTACCTCTTCTCTCATATTTCCGTCTCTTTTATCCTCGTATCGGTTCCGCGAAAAATCCTCCCCGTTGTCTCGCGTCGCGCTCTTTGCAGCCCGACGCAGGAACGGTGTAACATTTACTCTGTAATAAAGAGTCGAGAAAAGACGTGCTTCCTCCTCAAGCGGGTACGAAGAGTAAAAAAAAAAGAAGTCTGGCATCAAATATTTTGTCCTACGCCGCGCGTTTAACGAACTAATACGTAAAAGAATATACGGTCAAGCTTATTCCTCGTGTGCATCGCGTCGCGTTTTGACGGAGAGAGAGAGAGAGAGAGAGAGCGAGAGAGAGAAGTGTATGAAGAAAGACAGAATCTGTGCTCGAACGTGCCTCGCCCTCCGCTGTACGGAGCGAGCCAAGAAAAATTGCTGTCTGAAACGATCTATTATCCACTGGAGCCTTGAAAAAATACATGAATGCATCCATTCGACGAGCCTCGTCCAATACAAAATTATAGTACGTAACGAGTTATTTTAGATAGCGATTCTTATTGGCTCGCCCTGTATACGAATGTACTTTTGTGCGTATACAGTATACAGTAGACGCGTACCGGATAAAAGCTCGATTCACGTTCGACGGGTAACGCGAAGAGACAGAGAGAAAAAGCGAGAGAGAAAGAAGGAGAGAATAAAAAATATGGTCGGCAGGAGGCGGGTTAATGATAAGAGAGCACAAAGTAAAGTGTGTCAGAGAGAGAAAGAGAAAGCTGCCTGTTCACAGATCTTTCGAAAACGAAATCGAATCGGATCTTCGCCAGAAGGCTGCTTGTTTAGTTTGTACATAGGTAGTCTCTTGTATTTACCCGTTTACGTGAATCGGTCACGACAAATGGCGCGTGTGTGCGTGTGTGTGTATGTATGCGTGTTGCGCGCGCGCGCGTGTACGCTCGCGTGCGTACACCGTCTCGAACATAGTTCACTACTATTAACTCGGCCTTAAAAACAAAATGACGTAAACTGCCTCAAATAATTAATATATTAAACGAGCTAGCGCCCTCACTTACACTTCGACTGAGTAATAAAACGAAGGAGAAACGCCTGATCCTCTGTACATAATTACGTTTAGTATTAAAGAGAAGGGTGGTCGCGCGGACTCGAGATCCCGGTGAGCCAGTAGAGAGTTACGCGATCCGCTAAGTGTGAAAAACGAGCGAAACGAAAAAAGCACGACGAAACGGGGATTATATAGATAACGATCGATCGGCGGTATATAACGTGTACAACGCGTGATGCGTCGGCAGAGAGAATGAGCGAGCGAGTGGAAGAGAGCGAGAGACGGAGAGAAAGATGCAGCGTGTGTGCAGAGCGCATTCCTAAACGAAAAACTATTCGCAGAGCGAGCGCGTGCAAGATGAGCGCGGAGTGGGTGGATCGGAGAAGGATGAAACGTGGGGGGAGCATATCGATCCAGAACCCGGTAACGTTTAACTCCTCGTTTATCGTCGATAGAATTTGTCCCGTGGAAAGGGGAGAGACGTTCCCCGATCGGCGAGTGTCCGGTTCGTCGAAGGATAAAAATTGACCCTTTTTCCCCGACGTGCCGAATACTCGACGAGCGCGTTCGCTGGATATTTGTAAACGATACGAAAACGTGCGCCACTGGTGGCCGAAGAACGGTTTGCGAACGATTTCTAGGCGGATTTCCCATGCCGTTCGCGAACACCGTGCGGTTTTACGAACACGCGTGTACGGGGAGCGCGCGTACGTGGCGCACCGTGAACATCCGGGCGAGAAGGGGGCGAGGGGAGAGAACGGAAGGGCAGCGACAACGGGGAAAAGGGGGACGCGCGGGGGGTCGTCGAGGCCGCGACGAAACAAACGACGAGATCTCGTTGCTCTCGCGGACGGGAGATGCGGTTCGGATAAGCGAGGAGAGACCACTCGAAGGTAGACACGGTCGACGAGAAGGACACGGAGGGACGAGTTCGAAAGAAAGATTATTTAGTTTTCGTATACGCGCGCCGGGCTCGAGGAGGGTGAGAGCCGGGACGACGAGGGACGAGAGAAAAATTCCGTAGTGGATAAGCGCTACGTGACGACTCTGTCGACGTCCTCTCGGCTCGAGAAAACGCTTTGGGACGAGACGATGACGACGATCGACTCGAACAGGGTGAGCCGAGACGACGACGACGACGACGGATAGAAAAATTCCGCGGCGGATAAACGCCGCGATCCCTGGCGTCAGAGCCTGTGTATACTCGCGCACATATGCGAGAGCAGAAACGCGTCCTCTCGGCTCGTGAGAACGCGACGGGGCGACGATGACGAAGACACGTGGACTGCGAGACGTTGCGCGTTTCGAAGGACGGTAGTTCCTGGGTTCATGTATTATACGGGCTCGAAGAATGTACACGACAATAAGGATCGTAGCCGGTCGAACACGATCCATACCCCACGAGAGTTAATCGAGAAACGGAGGAACTCCTACGGCTTTTATGGCTCCGCTCGTAAAGATATACCCAAGGCTTTTTCTGTGGAACTCGGGACCCCTTCGAACACCCGGTCCAGGAACACTGGGGCAGGGACGATGACGGGGAACGAGTAGATACACGGGCGAAACGAGCGACCGAGCGAGCGGGTCCAGGTACGCTCCGGCGGTAAAGGTAAAACTATCTTGCAGGAGGGATTCTCGAGTGAGCCGGGAGGGCCGACCGCGGCAGGTAGTTGCGCGACCCCGGAAAGCACACGCCGGGCCCCGTATAAAGACTGACCCGAAGCCATTTTTGATCCATGATCCTTTCTCTCTCCGTTGCTTCCAGCCGAGACCCCGAATCACAATGTGCGCGCTCTTCGCCGTGGGTGGACCTCGTCGCTGCGCGAATTTTTCTCAGATCGTCTATCCTCGACGAGCGATCTGCCCCTATCTTTTTCTCTGGGCAGGTCGGAGGACCGGCTCGAGAAGAGAAAGAGGCGGACGATCGTGTCAGAATGAAAGGCGCCTGAGAAGCCGCGCTGCTAACAATGACCCTACCTACCTACCTACCTACCTACCTACCTACCTACCTCTGACACACGAATTGTTCGTACCTACGTACACCGGCTGATTCGGCAAATAGGGCGTACACTATTTTTTACACACCCGGTTTAGATCATTCGTAATTTGCTCCCATTTCTCGTTCCTCTGCTTTCCATTCGTGTGACCCTGTCGCGGTTCGATCGTAGATCGTCTCCGAATTTTAACGTACGAACAGTTTTTTTTCACTGACAGAAGAGTCTGCTCGAGCATCCTTGTGACCAGTTCAAACGAACATTTCCGATACGTACAGTCGCATGAACTCTAAATCGCGCGTACCTCGCAGGGGGTTATTGCGATCTTTTGATAGTTCCGAGGGTGAGATAGGGGATGGAAAGAAGAGGGTGGAGGGTTCGGTCCTGGAAAGAGCCGCAACGCGTGGCCACGAACGTCCATGTGTCACGAACCGTCAGGATATTACGTCGCTTCACGGGTCTGTCTATCCACGGATAGTTCGAAACGATGGACCACGCCCTCGGCCTCTGCCATCTCCGCTTTCGAACGAGGACTCTCTCTCTCGATCGATCCCTTTCCTCGCGACAAGCTGGCAAAAATTACCACCGCAAAAGTCGAGCACGAAACGGGACAACCGAATACGCCCCTGGAGCGACCCGAGGCCTGCCTCCACGGTCAATCGATACCATGCCGTATGCCTCTGCCGACTTTGACAGCCTCCCGAGACGTTTCTCCCCGTTATCTCTCCTTTCTCAATTTTTCCCACCTCCGTTCCCTCCCTCCTATCCGTCGGCGACGTTCCTCTTCCGTCTTTTCTTTCAAATTCTTACCGATGCATCGTCGTTCCCCGAATTCCAGATTCGACAGTACCCGGTGTTTACGAAAAAACCTATTTGTGAGCAAATGTGATTAAAATCGTGCAATACCCGTTTCAATGAAAAGACGTACGAGTCCTAAAGATCGAACGGAACGACCTGGATCATACGTAGAGACGTTGAATCTTTCTACCGTGCGAGACTCAGCCGGCGTTCGATGCGATCGATTCGTGGCCCCCACGTGCCGCTCGCTTCCTCGTTTCACGTGAGAAGCGTGCGACGTAACGAGCAATTGTTCACGTACAATTCTCGGTTCCTCTCGTGAGTTTCGCGATCAATCGAAAAGTTCTCCTTCGCCCGTCGTCGTCGTCGTCGTCGTCTGGTCTCTCGCTCGGTTATTACTCGCCCGGTGCGTGTTTGCTCAGCTCGATCGTTCGTTTAAAATTCGAGTCGATGCGCGTGTTATTTCTTCCCGTCACGGCGTTGTAGGACTTTCGAGAGCTTTTACGAGGAACGGAGCGCACGTGTGTCCGTCGTGCGTGCATGTATCCGAGCCTCTGTGCGTGGCTATACAGCGAGAATCAAAACCGAGCGACCCCGGCAACGCGAATATGATAATTATCTATTAATCTAGTAGAGTGATTAAGTTTTCCTAACATTAATTCTTGTAAATCTCGTGTTCGTTCGTAGAAAATTCTTAAGTTGTACAAGATACGCGTAAGATTAAGTTCTGCGGCCCCGCGGCGCGCTCGCTTTTGCGTCTCGCTGTACATACGTACGCGTCGTCGATTCGGCAAATTTCAGGGAATCTGTTACGACACGGGATTATTAAATCGTTCGGCGAGGAGCAAACATTTGTTCTTTTACAGACGGATAATAACGACTGGTTAAAATTCTTTCTTTACGCGAACCGGTGATACGCGTGACACGTGTGCGTCCACCTTTCGTGCGAAACGCTCTACGTGCCACCTTGTTTTCCCCGTCGCCGTCGCGTCGACGTTCTCGAACGACCAACGGGGACATCCTCGATTCTCTTCCTTTTTTCTTTTCCTTTCGCGAGGGGGTCGAAGCTAGCTAACCAACTACTACTGTATTATCGGTAAAAGAAAATGGCAAAAAATAAAAAACACAGAACATACCTACGCATTTAAGATAATGTACAAGTCTCTAGTGTGATACATTTCTACGCTTATTCTCTTAACTGTAGTCATGAAGTCTAAAGTAAACGATACCTCGTTGTGGTTTGTAAACGCGGATTAACAAAAAAAAAATGGTAAAACGCAAAAAATACAAGTAAAAACGCATACGAATAACGAGTAGCTCTGTAATAGTAATTAAATGGAAGTGACGCAAGGAAGCTTAAGAAAGACGCATGAGTTACGTATAATGATGTAAAGGGAAAAGACAAACGATCAAAAAAAAAATCCGCTTAGGTCGAAATTAAGAATTAAAAAAACCGAAAAAAAAATGCTCGTAAAAGACGCCAATGTACTCGTAGAATGGAATTACTCGGCGGCGAACGTCCTAATTAATCGCAACACTTAAAAAATATTAAGCGACCGGCAAAAAGAAAATACCGTTCGACTTATAAGAAAAAATAAACACTGGATAATAAGGAGACCCAGAAGAGAGAGAGAGAGAGAGAGAGAGAGAGAGAGAGAGCGAGATCGAGCGATGATTTGCGATGATCCAAGAATCGAGTAGATGAATGCGCAGTTTCGAATGAATGGGCAACTATTATAAAGAAGTAACGAAGGTCCACGTGTGGGTCGAACGTGTGTGCATGTGTGAATTTACGCGCAGAAGAGTATTCGAGGATGTAGTGTTCGGCATGTACATAACTCTGTATATACGAACGAATCACTGACTGTACAATACCACCCAAATATATTTATATTTCATGTTAAAACAACCTCGATATATTCCTCATTTCTAGTTTTAAATCGATGCTAAACAGCCACGATCGCCGTCGCCAAATATGCGTGATGAATAATAATTATATTTTTCCGTCGTTATGCTCGTTCGAGTTGGTTTTTATTAAACCTCCTTATGAAAATTAGATGAAACGAATCTCTATTAACATTCCACCTCTTCAGTCGCCGTTTCTCTTTTTTTTTCTAGGAGAGTACGCGATTCCACGGAGTTCTATCGGTAATAAAACGAATGAAATTTCGATGAGAGACATAAGTACTGCCACTTCATAAGACCCAGTATAAAATACTTGAAACGTTTAAGGATGTTTGGGCTATAAGTCAAAACGATGACACAAACTTGACATTTTGAGAATAAGTAGATTATTCCATAGTAAAATGATTCACGAGCTTGCTCTACAATTATAGTACTTTAAAATTAACATGTGTTCTTATGGAGATTAGCAAAATACAGGCAGTACTGTCA